TGTGTGTGTGTGTGTGTGTGTGTGTATGTGTGTATGTGTGCATGTGTGTGTATGTGTGTATGTGTGTGTGTGTGTGTGTGTATGTGTATGTGTGTGTGTGTGTATGTGTGTATGTGTGTGTGTGTGAGGAGGTTGCATTTGAGAATTTCTGCAACTTTTAAACATGATTCTAATATCATTTTAAAACGTCTCCTGTCCACTGTTCCTCAGACTGCCCCCTGAAAACTTAAGTATTTACTGAAATATCAATTATAAATATGGTTAAATCTTGGAAAAAATCTTTTGTGAGCAGTGAAGTTTATATGGTGTATTTTTACCATCGATCCATTCATCTTCTTCCCCTTGATCCATTTCTGGGTTGGGGTTGGCAGACAGAGCACCAGCCCCGCACTGATCTGCTCTGTCAGTGAGAGCACAGCCTTCTTCACTCTGATATCCCATCTCTCGGACTCGGCCATGCTGTCCTCAACCTGTTGTATCCGCTCCTCCACTGCACTCACTCGTATGTTAGTATCATGAAGTTTTTGACTCATTTCAGTTGCTAGTTCCCCCGTTTGTTTCTTCATTTCCTCACATATTTCAGAACGGAAGTTTTCCAAGTCCTTCTTGATTTCTGTGTGAAACGAGGTCATGGCATCTTTCATTGCTTCTCGAATCATGTCCATGCTAATGCTACGGTCGCCATGTTGCTCCGCTGTTAGCTCCACTTCGTTAGCCGGTGTGTCCTCTTTCATTTCTGGGTCCGGGTAGTTTCGTAGCCCGTATCTGCTCTTGTTAGTCCTGTCCCCACTCATTAAAGTGGCCAAAGCTCTCCCAACTGAGCCACTGTGTATCACTTAAAACATACAAACACTATGTATTTTTCATACTAGTTGCACTTAAAATCCAATTAAAATGAAGGCTACATTAAACGACCAAACCTTTTCACATAAATATAACTATAGAACAAATAAAACTATGTAATGAATAAAGCATTTGTAATAAAACCCCTGATCTACACTTTAGTGCCTACAGATTCTATAAGAGAGACTCCCCAAAGCTGAGAAGCATTATGGGATTTGTGCAAGTGGTGAATAATGTAAAAATAGTTATAATAAAAGAAACTTTATATTATAGAATTATAAACATTTTTATAATCTCTGCCTCCGACCAGCTGGTTTGACCCCCTGCTCTGTACTCCCATGAATAATACGGTTATGGCATACAGCTGTACAGAGCCCTGCCACACGTCCACGCTCCCTGATCCTGTCATTATCCTCTCCCCTCCACAGAGCGACTAATCACAAGGCATGGCTAAACCGACTCCAGGCCGTTCTAACCACGAGAGCACCATAAATCACCAATGCAGTTTGAAAAATCCACCTAAACCATGCCACGTGGATGAGGTACAAAATCCTTATCGAATAGCAGTGTTGGGAAGTAAGGGTTCTTCTTCTGTGATCAGACTTTCACAAAGTTCTTTCTGTATATCATTACATTTTTTATTATGGAAAATTGGAAAGAAATCATTAAAGCATTCTGACAAATGTGCATCACTAAATAATTTCTGAACGTGCTTGTGTGTGTGTGTGTGCTTGTATTCTAGGTATTCTGTCAAAGCTGTACCCAATTCAAGCCCCAGCCCCTCACTGATCCTCCTGCAGATGGGGAGTCCACAGGAGGATGTCTGCTCTGGCTTCAGGCAAAGTGGGGTTAAGTGTCTTGCTCAAGGACACAACGACAGCAGACATCAGTAGGAGTAGGTCTCGTGGAAGGAACGAACCCATGATCTCCAGGCTCCTAGACCAATGCTCTACCAACTGAGCCACTGTCAATTTTTCATATCGTATGTTTTTTTTAGAGTCAACTATATCTTTCACTTCATATGCTTGTTCCATATATATTTAACCATTAATATGCAATTATAAAATAACCCAATGTGACCAATTATCCAAACTAATTCAATACTTTTGTTTTAAACTGCAGAAAACTTTATACATCGTTCAGTTACAGGACTGAGATAGCTTTAGGTCAGAAGGGGCAAAGTTCCATGTTCAGAAGTTCCTCACATTAGCTCGGCTGGATCTAAAAACAACTCCAGTGCTGTTATTGTCACATCCACACATGAAACCAGGAGATACTGTCTGTTCAGGTATCAACTAAAATAGAACCAACCTGTTTTAGTTCCATTCATACAAGACATATTGAATCTATTCCCACGGCTTTGTTCCCTTTGCGGATGCATACAGCTGTTCCTGCTGATCCAGACCAGACAGAGCTGATTTGCTCAAACGCGAAACAGAATTTTGGCTGGCAGACGGGATCATCACACGCTGCTGACTTCACAAGCTCACAAACAAAGATACAGCTGGTTTTATATAGTCCTAAGGAGCTTTCCAGACGCTATGCCGGGTTACGGTTCAGAGGTGGTATCCGTTTATGGCTCATGTAATAATCCCCAACTGAAAATGCATAAATGTCCCTTATTTTCAGTGTCGTGGCTGTGGGGTTGTTTTTATTTTTTTGCTGGTAAATATTCATGAGCATATGTGCAGGGCAAGGAGATCAATGCGTATATCCGTGCAAATTGGATCCTGAGACACTTTGTTGACTTTCAGACCTAGCCAGGCTTGTGCACAGAGATAACACAGAAAGGGCGAGAGCGGTGCCCAGAGCTCCGAACATGGAGAAAGTTTGGGTTATGTCTTGTTTATCCGTGTTAAAATATTACGCTTGTAGTTTTATGTGAACACGCGCCACTATTTGCTTGTTGAACTGGCAACCTGACACAGTGCAAACCTGGACGCCAAAAGATCAGGGTTTTTTCATTCATTCATTTTCAGTTATTAACTGTGTGTCAGTCTGTCTCTGAAACGGCTTAATGACAGACTGACAAACAGCTTTCACAACAGTTTTACAAAATTAAATTAAATGGATCCCACGTGAATACTGGTCCGGCCCTCCACACAATCGAGAAGTGATATCTTTCTTCTCTCGTTCAGGGGTGCGAGAGGACACTGGCGAGCGTTGGCTGCCGCTTCTCCACACAGGAAAACACCGTCTTGTTTACATTTAAATCTTTTTACGTCACGGTGGTTCTGCATGAATCCTGCTCCATCTGACGGTACCTGCCATTTGCCGTGGTTCTGACGTCAGTGACAACCATAGACTGTAAATATTTAAGAACGTAGTCACGCCTAGTCATGCCGTTCAAAGAAATGGGCCAAAAATTGGGCTTTCATGGAGCGTTTCAAAATGGCCGCGGGCGCTGGAAAATGTGCACGAGGCCCATTCATTTAAGCGATTGACTTCAAAATTCTACAGCGGTTAACTAGACTGGTCCAAATCACCCCCTCAGCATTGACACACATGTGGAACGGAGCTTTGGGCCAAGAGCCAACTTTTGGACCATCCTGTAAAGACATTTTCGAGAGGTAAGAAGATGCTATATGTTAGCATTGGCTAATTCTTCTTCCGGGTCCACCCCCACAGGCCCGGGGTGGTATTGCAGCATGTCAGCGCATGTCATTTTGGCCACTTTTGAGCCGGGACCCTCCCACACTGGTGACAACCCCGCTAACTCCCATGGGTCATCGCCATAATCTACCGCCCACCTCAAAAATGTTCATCATTTCTTTCAGACTTCACTGACTTTTACACCCAGCTTTCTCCCATCTCCCATTTATTCTTCTCATTGGTGAGTTCAACATACATATCGACACTCCAAGTTCAAAAGCAGATTTCCTGGACATATGAAACTGTCTAAACCTTATACAACATGTCAACTCACCCACTCATTCCCAGGGACCATCAATCAATCGATCAAGTTTATTTATAAAGAACAATTCATGTAGTGCAACCCAAAGTGCTTTACACAGACATAAAATCAAACACATTTACAAACAGTTGCTATGAAAAGAAACATTTCAGACTGAATGTCAGAATTAAAACTGTATAAAACTCACTCATATGCACAGCTAAAAAGAATGGTTTTCCGCTTAGACTTAAACAACACTAGAGAGTACATCATTAGGAAGACTGTTCCAGATTTTTGGGGCATACACCTGAAATGCTGCCTCCCCATGTCTAGTCCTGACTCGGGGCATCAGCTGGAGTCCCGTCCCCGTGCTCCTCAGAATCCGAGTTGGTTCAGACGGCACCAACATGTCACTGATGTACTTCAGTTGACATGTTGTCAGTCAGGACTAATGTGGTCGTACTTCCTGGTTCTAGTCAGGACTAATGTGATCATACTTCCTGGTTCTAGTCAGGACTAATGTGGTCGTACTTCCTGGTTCTAGTCAGCACTAATGTGATCGTACTTCCTGGTTCTAGTCAGGACTAATGTGATCATACTTCCTGGTTCTAGTCAGGACAAATGTGGTCGTACTTCCTGGTTCTAGTCAGGACTAATGTGGTTGTACTTCCTGGTTCTAGTCAGCACTAATGTGATCGTACTTCCTGGTTCTAGACAGGACTAATGTGATCGTACTTCCTGGTTCTAGTCAGGACTTGAGCTGCTGCATTTAGAATGTACTGCAGCTGTTTTAAAGCATGTTAAAAGAGACCGGTAAGTAGGCCACTGCAGTAGTCTAATCTACCGGTAACAAATGCATGGATAAGACACTATGTTTCTAATTTGTAGGTGAAAGAATACTGCTGATGTTAGAATTTCAGGTCAGAGTCCATTATTACCCCAAGATTTCTTACTTCATTCGTTGGTTTTAAGGAGAGAGACTGGATGTAACTGTTAACACTTTATTTTTGTTTTTGTGGGCCAAAATCTTATCTGGGTTAAGTTGAAGGAAATAGTTTTGCATCCACTCACTGATCTGTTGAATACACTGGCAGAGGGAATGTATTGGTTCATAATCCCCTGCAGTAAGTGACACATTGGTTCTGTGTATTCTAGCCAAAAGGCAGCATGTAGGCCCCCAGGATCCACTGCCCCTCTCCACCCCTCCCTCACTCAATCGACTGCAGAAATTCTTATCCACGTCTTCATCACGGTCCACTTCCACTCATCTCCAACTGCAATACATTCGCCTGCTCATCCACACCCGCTCCAGAAACCACATCACCCCTGTCCTCAAACAACTCCATAGGCCTCCTGTTTCTTACTGCATATAATACAAGGTCCTCTTTTTAGCTTTTTATTTTTCGTTTCTTATTTTTCATCTGTAAAGCATCGTTGAGTGTCCAAAAAAGCGCTATGTAAGTATGATGTATTATTATTATTAATATTATTATTTATATCCCAATGTGTCCCCCTTGGAGACTGCCCAGTCCTGGTATAGAATGTGCATCAGCGAACCATAACAGAAGGATACGAACCTGCCAGGCTTGTTGATGTACTTGTGCAGCCGAGCTTTGACCTCATCGTAGGTGAGAAAAGCCATGTACCCTGGGTGTGTTACGGCCAAGAAGTTCCAGTTCCTCAAAATGGATCCCCACGGCTGCAAAACAGACCACCAATGAAGCCAAACCCCAACATCATAATTCTTCACATCATGAGATCAAAACAAATACGGCGACTTGGCTGCGCCCAATCCTCTGGCTGATACTAAATTAAACTATAAACTGAGCGGGACAAGGTTTGTGACAAGATGCCAGCTTGGCCGCTTGCTTTTTGGAAAGAGGCTGGACGCCGCATGGCCAGTTGTGTTTGGAAGTCTTTACGGGCGCTTTCTGCGGCGGCGAGATAGAAGTGAGCCAAGACATCTGAAATGGAACAATGAGTCTTTGCTTTGTGGTTTGTGAAACCAGTCTATTGATCAGTGAATGCAGGGTTTAAAACGCCCGTACGGACGTAGCGCACCTCAGATTACTACGCCTCACAATATAGTACCCGTTTTATCCGCTGAGAAAATCGACTGTTACATTTCTGTGTTACTATACTTTGCAGTGTAACACGTCACGTAACTATATACATTTAATAGGGAACACTTGGAAGAGTTTGGTAGCTTCTAGCGGGAGCTACCTTTTGGTGCTACAAAATATACAGAGGAGGCTGCGGTTGTGCTCCCGTTTTTGCTCCGTTTGCATGACAGAGCGCACGGACTAAGACCAGACAGGTACGTATTAACTAGTCTAAGGTAAGGTAAGAACATATGTCAGTATGTAAAAACGGTGAACTATTCCTTTAAACTTGTCTCTTTTAACCCGTTACTGGATGCAGTCGTTATCAGAGGCTGCTGTCAGACTGACCACATCAGGTAACAACAGCTGATGAAGAGACACGTGATGGTGTGACGTGTCTCTTCATCTTCAGTCTACCACGAACCATGCGAGATAATTACGGAGTACTAGCTACTTTACACTCTTTAGCCCAGCGTGTCTATTTGGGCCTACTTTAGCCTACTTTAGTCTACACTACACTGGTTGTGTTTCCATTCCACTTCAGTATCAGGTGCCGTAAAATAGCAATCTACCCACAACAAACCAGTATTCATGGAAATTCCAGCAACACTGGAACACTTAAGTACTACTCTACTCTGTACCCTGTCGGGCCAAGTAGGGCTGGGTTAGTATTATCAAACGAACCATAAAAGCCTTATATATACAATATTAATTTGCAGTATGAACTATTGATGTCATTTTTTGAATAATAATGAGATTTCACCACCTTTCTTTGTTTAAATACCTGAAGCATGTTTATTTGACATAACAAATAAAACAATAGAAAATAGCTTCCCGTGTGCCCCTGTACTTTATTCAGGCACATGCGCAGAAAGTAGGACTGCATTTACTCGAGTATGTATTTTGTTTTGTTGCATCAGTGCTATTTCACCCTGCACTAAACTAATAATTTGACTATAAAAAAAGGACAAAATCTGGGCTAAATAGGGGAGATTTGGCTGGTACATACATATTTATAGTGTGTTTATATTGGCGTCAATAATTGGTCAACCCCTTGTTTCCAGTGTAGAATGCACTTTGACAGCTAACCTGCAGCCTTTGGAGCAGGCCCGAGGCTCGCAGGTCTCTGGTAATCTAGACCTTTCGGCTTTGGGGCTTCGGCAGAAAAGAACAGAGCTGTGGTTTTGCTTTGAGAGAAAATTGCAACATAGCAGTGAGTCATTCTGGCAGTGGGGTTCTATGGACTCATAAAGCTTATTCACCTTTCACTATGACACATTACAGACATCATTCTGGAATATTCAAATATAAATGTGAAATGTTAAAAAGCCATGATGATATTTGACAACTTTGCTCAGGGGACGATCTAAAAGGTTAGCGACACTTTTTTGCAATTGAGAATATTCTTTGAGGCGGCCTGTGGAGGTGACTCAGTAGGATTTGCGATTAACCTTGTGAAGGCCATTTATTATTTACACAGAGCATTTATTAATATTGATGAAAGCAAATAGAAATAGCAGTTCAAAGCCCCGGCACGACTAAGGAAGAGATTTTTTGGTATCTTTTTTTCACAAAGAGGATTATCTATGTGTGTCATAAGTCACACTAAGAGTTCTTTTGTCCCTACATCAGTTTCAGTTCCTTTTCTTCCTCCCACCTGAATTCTGTAGTCATGAATCAAAAGACCAAGAGCTTTTCTGTGACCACAAAATCTGCAGAAACCCCTTGTGCCTCAGCCAATCGCGTTTAATCCTTTAGATTTGAGCTAGAAGATTATAATGAGTGTGAGTGACAAATGTGGCACAGAAATCATTCTTAAATTGTCTAATTTTTCACGGTGGAACACTGCGCTCGAGGTAAAAGGCCTGTGCCAAAATTAAAGCTGGCTTCGAGGCCCTGACGCCCACACTTCATCTTGAAGCCACATGTATTTCTGTATTTGAAAAAACTGTTTTTAAAGTGACAGCTAATCACAAACTATTATTTAACCTGAAAGAAATGTTATGCATTGTTTTTGGACATAAATTGTAATTAGACTATGTACTTCCATCTTTCATGTATTAAAATGTGAAATGATATCTTAGAGAAAAAACATATGTTGAAACAAGTATTAAAGCTCATAATGGTATTTTTTTCAGATATAATCCATGATATTTGCCCCAACAGAAAGAGTCTTAAGACACATTCCCTTTTCCCTTTTTTTTTTTTAGAAAGAGCCCTGTGAGTCACTATTTGACTCTTTGGGCTGAGGGTGAGGCTGGTGATATCGGCCGAAAGTGTATTTATGTGAAAATGATTGAAAAACATGCATGCAATATAATCTTTAAAAAAAATAGATAAAAGCCCTGGTGTCTTGAAGATTAGCCTGTGATAGAAGGGTTAGGACAAAAGCTAAAATATGTTTTAAATATTTAAATGAACGGTATGTATCAACCTTTGTCTATTTTTTGTCTTTCATTAACATCCAATTATAATTATTTTTTGCGATGTTCATGTTGTCTTGTCTAGGTCTTCTTATTTCAGTGCAATTAAAACCTTTTTTTAAACTTTTTATTTGGATTCCCATCAGCGGCTGTTTTCCTGGGGACAAAATACTCTATAAAGATATTATTTGAAATGTTGAAAACGCGTTATGCTGTTTTATCTTTATGAACTCCCCAGTGCGAGTCAGAAACTGTTTACATTTTCCAAATTTTGAAAACATTTACTGCAACCAAATAATAATCACAATGCCTATCAAAAAAGCATTATCTTCAACTATCAGGCAGCAGCAGGAGCATCAAACAGGGCCAGCGTTTCCCCTTTGTGGCCATACGGCTCTAATCAAAAGAGCAGGGACATTTGAGATTGTGTACAGGCTCCTTTGTGTGTTTTGTGACGGGAAATAATTGGTGGCAGAAATAAAAAGGCGTTTGTGTTTGTCTGCATGCACACAAACACAACCTTTGCCTTTAGAGCTCATTAGAGGAGGAAGGGCCGTTTGGTTGTGGTCTGGCTGAGTCTGCGTCAACACAACAGGTGCCGTGTTTCACAGCTCTAAAAGGCCAAGAGTTGTCTGTGGTGGGTTTTGAAAATGTGGAGAAAGCTTGTAAAGGCGCGTTCAGACTAAAAGCTTCAAAAAGCTTTTGACACGCTTCAACTGACGCCGGGTTATTTTTGTCATGTTGGTGCTTGAAGCTCCTGAAGCTCCTGATGCGCCTGATGCCGGTGGGCGGAGCTTCTCTGTTGCAGGACAACGGAGGATTTTCCAGAGAGCAGCGAATCTTTATTTGTTATATAAAGCAAAATAACGTTGTCGTGGGGTTTCTACAAAACATGTTCTGGGTTCACCACAGACTTGAGAGGCTGCAGTGTTTGCAGAGTTGCGTCATTTACTTCAGGAGCTGCGTACGGAGGAGTTTCGCTTTCAGCGGTACTTCCGCATGTCACTCGCCCAGTATGGGTATGTTTCAGAACCGGCCGATACAATATGATATCGGTACACATGACGCAATACAATAATCTAGATACTAAAAAAATTTAGATTAAGATATTCATTGATAATTAATTGGGATGAGGGTCAAAGTATTAAAACAAAATCCATATGTTTATTTTTTTATTTTCTAATTAAAAATTAAAAGTGAAAATAAATGGGATTTTTTTTTTTAAAGGGACCGATATCACTCAAAATAATATATTTGTATGCTTGTGAAAACTAGTGAAAAAAGCAAACGGGTTTGAGAGCGAGGTACTTGGATGGATGTTATGGGGCGTTCAGACCGGATCATGCTGCGGCGACTTTCAATGCAAAGTCAATGGTGTTGTCCGTTCGAGCGGCAGAACTGCATGTGCGTCATGTCACGCACGGACTGCGCGGCAGCGGCGGCGGCGCAGTAGCGGCGAATTGACGCAAGCAGAGATAAACGTTGTTGAACTTTTTCCGCCGGTCACATGTGCAGTGACCAATCAGAGGGCCGCAAAGTGGTCCTGGGGTCACTAGCGATCTGAGCGAGCAGACGGAAAACACTCGTGAACGGCCAATACAGGAGCTAAACCAGGACTAAACCAGGACTAAACCAGGACTAAACCAGGACTGAACCAGGACTGAACCAGGACTGAACCAGGACTGAACCAGGACTGAACCAGGACTGAACCAGGACTGAACCAGGACTGAACCAGGACTAAACCAGGACTGAACCAGGACTGAACCAGGACTGAACCAGGACTGAACCAGGACTGAACCAGGACTGACAATGGGGGACACAGTGCTTGTGAACATACGCCTCCAGCCTGAGTTCTCATGCTCACGTGACTGTAAACAAGTGCTGCTAACGTGTTTGCCGATGAGGAAGTACTGTTTAAAAATAAAATAAACGTATGGCGCACCTCCGTGAACACATACTGCTGTTATATAAAGTCTGTGGAAAGTCTCTGGACACAGAGACAGGGCAGAGCAGCATTCTTCAGAGGAACTTTACCCAAAAAGCTGCTAGCTTAAAGCCCGCCCGCTACTTCCACCCTGCGTTTTTTTATCCACAACAGGCCAGTACTTCAGGTCTGAACTCCCCTAGCATCTGAAATTTAGAGAATGTGCGTCCAGTGCGCGTGGAAGCTGCGTTCAAACGTCGGCGGTCTGAACTTCCCGTAATAGTTGAATGTTGCTTTTACAACAAACTCAGTGTGGGGTAAAACTAAAGTTACTGATTTATGATAAGTGACCCATTTCTCATCATCCAAGTTTATAATTCATAAGAACTTACAATAAAAGGAATGAGTATGTGTGTGCGGGTGTGTGTGTGTGGGTGTGCATGTGGGTACGTGGATGTGTGTGGGTGTGCATGTGTGTACGTGGATGTGTGTGTGGGTGTGTGTGTGTGTGTGTACATGCATATGTGTGTGTACGTAAGTGTGTATTTGTACCTGGAAAAGGCGTGTGAAGATGTCGAACTCAAACACAGAGATGTAGTCGTTGCAGGTGAGGTCAATTGTGGACTTCAGGGCCATGGCCTCCAGACCGGAGCTGATGGGATGGATCTCATGAAGGCACTGTCGGAACAATTTCCACGGCACGATTGTCCTGCAAAAACAATGCATAATGTCGTTACAACACACATAGTTATCAAGTCATCGAGCATGTGGTTCTGGGGGACGCTAAATCTCGCCCCCACTCTGTCACCTGTGGGGTTCCCCAGGGCTCCGTGCTTGGTCCCACCCTCTTCACCATGTACATGCTTCCCCTCGGGTGTGTCGTCAGCAGGCATGGAATTCACTTCCATTGCTATGCTGACGACACACAACTTTATCTCAAAATCACTCCATCCACCCCTCCCTCTGCATCTCTCTCCTGTCTTCCCTCCTGCCTGGAGGAGATAGGAGCATGGATGAGGCAAAACTTCCTGCAGCTGAATGGCTCAAAAACAGAAGCCATTCAAACTGGTACTCCCCATCAACTTCACTCTTCTCCCATCACCTCAATCTCTCTCTTTGGCCACAGCATTCCCCTCTCTCCCTCTGTAACCAATCTCGGGGTCAAGTTTGACCCCCACCTTTCCTTCGCAAATCACATACATCACATCTGCAAAACTTCCTTCTTCCACCTCCGTAATATTTCAAAACTCCGCTCTTCTCTCTCTCTCCCGGCTGCAGAGAAGCTCGTCCATGCCTTTGTCTCCTCCAGGTTGGACTACTGCAACGCACTCCTCATCGGGATCCCTGGCAGGAGCCTTCAAAAGCTCCAGTACGTACAAAACAGCGCGGCCAGGGTCCTGATGAGGGTGCGGAAGCATGAGCACATCACCCCCATCCTTCACACCCTCCACTGGCTCCCCGTTCACCTCCGTATAGAATACAAGATCCTCCTGCACACCCACCACTGTCTCCACGGTGATGCCCCCACCTACCTCACTGACCTCCTCACTCCACACTCCTCAGGCAGAACCCGGTCAGGCCAACAGCACCGTCTGCTCCCGCCCAGGACACGGCTCAAGAAAATGGGGGACCGGGCCTTCGAGGCCGCTGCTCCCCGTCTGTGGAACGCCCTCCCGGACCACCTCAGGGCCCCACAGACGGTGGAAGCTTTTAAAAAGGGACTCAAAACCCATCTTTTTACTAAAGCGTACTGCTAATTTTTTTATAGTCTTTTATCTGATTTTATGTGTTTGCTTTTATTTATGCTGCTGTTTGTAGCACTTTGAGATTTGATGTCAAATATAAAGTGCATTATAAATAAAATTTATTATTATTATTATAAGTCTTCTGTGCACAAGGCCACCATCTGTTTGTGTTCAGCATTTTATTGGATTATTGTTTTAATGAGCAACAGGACAAAATACGATCTGATCTGACGTACAAAGTGTTTTCTCTTCAAATGTAACTGGTGCGGCATCATCCAACCCTGTTTAAAGACTATCTGATCTTTTGCTTTCTGATCAGTACAATTGTGTTGCCTCACAAAGAAACATACTGTACAACATAATCTCAAAATAAATTGATAATTATATGGATTAAATATACAGTCAGATGACAGTTTGTGAAAAAGAATGTTTAAGAATCTAATGGAAGTAACGACAAGTTCTTAAACCTGTGCAATTCCAGTTCAAAGTGTAAACATTAATTTAACAAGACAAAAGTGTTTCTTCATTACGCCATCAATACTGTGTGAATATAGAGTTGTATCAGTCTCTGTCAGGACCTTGGTTTTCGGGCCTGATCACAGCTCTAATTTCCTTTGAGATTCTGCTGGAAACCCACTTTTCTGCATCATTGTTTGAGTCAAATGTCAGATTAGCAAACATGAGAGAGCAGCCTGAGTGGCCCCTGAGCTCAGGGATGATGAGGAGATGCACAGACAGAACCTCACTCCTCTGTGGCCAACTTCCTGACGCAGTCTACTTTAAACGCAACAACAACAAGTCCAGTCCCAGGGAATAACTTCTTCAGTGGGAAACATGCAACAGCCTAAACAACTTGTCTTTTCTTTTTTATTTATCATGTATGTGTTTTGTTGATATCACTGAAACTGACAATAAAATTTTTAAAAGTCAATTCCCGCCAAAGTTCACATATCCTCAGAGTACCAGCAAGACCAGGGAGAGACCAGGGAGAGACCAGAGAGAGACCAGAGAGAGACCAGAGAGGGACCAGAGGGACCAGAGAGAGACCAGAGAGAAACCAGAGAGAGACCAGAGAGAGACCAGAGAGAGACCAGAGAGAGAGACTCCTCAGAGTCCCATAAGGAGGCCGGTTCCTGTGCTCCTCAGAGTCCCATAAGGAGGCCGGTCCCTGTGCTCCTCAGAGTCCCATAAGGAGGCCAGTACCTGTGCTCCTGAGTCCTATAAGGAGGCCAATCCCTGTGCTCCTCAGAGTCCCATAAGGAGGCCGGTACCTGTGCTCCTCAGAGTCCCATAAGGAGGCCAGTACCTGTGCTCCTCAGAGTCCCATAAGGAGGCCGGTCCCTGTGCTACTCAGAGTCCCATAAGGAGGCCAATCCCTGTGCTCCTCAGAGTCCCATAAGGAGGCCGGTCCCTGTGCTCCTCAGAGTCCCATAAGGAGGCCAGTACCTGTGCTCCTCAGAGTCCCATAAGGAGGCCAGTACCTGTGCTCATCAGAGTCCCATAAGAAGGCCTGTCCCTGTGCTCCTCAGAGTCCCATAAGGAGGCCAATACCTGTGCTCATGGTTAAAAATCAGTTACTGGATGTACCGATTGTGATGTGGCTGTTATAATAAGTCTAAGTACATTTTTTTACGTGGTTACAGACCTCATGTGACAGCTAGAGAGAGCTATGGGGGTGATAACTCGTGATTGGGGGGACCCCCCCAAAAAGACAATCAGCCCAGTAAAAACCATTTTGGCTGTTGGTATAGCAGGAGGACAGTTGTTCTGCCTCACTGATCTGGTGGATACAGAGAAGGAGTGTTCCACTGGTCTGTGTTCACTGCAGTAGAGGAGACAAGATAGATAGACCAGTATCAAATCTACAAACATGCCCAGAGCAACGTGCTGTAACTTGACGAAGGTAGTGCAGTCCGAAAAAGGTGGATTCTGAAGGAGCCTGTGTTAAAATGGAGGATTGGCACATCCATACAATTTACATCCTCCGAGGTAGAGGCGTGCTGAAAGCAGATTTCCTTTATCCTCATAGGGCTTACAAACCTGCAGATGTGCCACTATGAACCATAAATGCATTGATTCAGCACAAACACGGACGAGCGTTAAATCAGAGGCGGCTGGTCATTACATAATCAATACAAACATCGCTCAAATAACGAGCATTCTCGGGACCCCCGCGAATGGGGTTGTAAAGCGAATAGGATCTGCAAATATTCATGCCACACCTCCCGAGTTCACAGTATCCAAAAATCGACAGTACCAAGTTCTGTCATCATTTTATACATGATTCGAGTTCAATCACAGAGGAGCTTATAACGCAGTTCAACTATCTGTACGCTTGCTCCTACTTTTTTAACAAATTTTGACAATAGCAAGATAGATAGATACTTTTAATGATCCCTTGGTTGGAGAAAAAATGTGTCTCAGAGAAGACGACTATCCAGGTTTGTTGTACAGTCTGACAGCGAGTAAGAAATGATCACTTGATAGAATTAAACACAAATTAAAAAACGTTTGTATGTAAATCACATCACATGGATAGGCAAAGATAACCCAATGTCTGGCTCAGACCAGTCATGATAGATGTTTCAGACAGAAAAGTGACAATAGAGGAACTCCTCGCTTGCATGAGCTCTTGGGCCCAAAACAACAATATTGAAACAAAGGGATCCTCTGAGGCAGTCAAAAATAACCGTAAGGTTGAGGGGCCAAATATGTTGACAAAGACATGTATTGTTAGAAAAAATCAAAAATTTAAGTAACCTAGCTGTGGTCTAATACAGCGAAAAATGTTTGAGTCCAATGGCTGTAATCGTAGGGCAGGTCGCTTAAAAACAGATAACGATATATATTGCGATAGACACGGGGTAATCTGTTACGAATCATAGAAACGGTGGTCGCATCGAATTCGATAGTTTCACTTCAGTCCGTACCGGAAACAAACAGGAACAAAAACAGAGGACGTAACGCCAAAGCGCACGGCACAATCTGGGGAATGTAGGCAAAGGCTTCACGCCTCATCACAGGCCGACACCCCCCCGCACCACTTTCGGGACCAGAAAAACACCATCGAACCATGCGTAGAGGTCATGGAATACTGGATCTAAATAAAAATAGCTGGATCTAAAGATCGTGATGTTTCAGGGGCCGAGTCAGTGGTTAAACAGTCTGTGCTAGGAACAGCTGAGCAGCGCGGGAGGCAGTGGTTACAGAGACTCGATGCCTTCGGCAAAAAGCAGAGATTCCATATTTCTGAGCGCAAGACGGAACAAGACACTCGAAAACAGCCAAAAGGAGCTACCCAGGGTATTAAACAGGACTAAAGTGGGGGAGACTTGCTTGGAACATTTGCGCTCAGCCTCATTCCCCGTGACTGTAAACAGGCTGTAACATGTGTTAGCGCACGACAAATTTCTTTATTTACGTATTAAAAGTAACTAAAAAACAATCAATATATAACGTTAACGACCGAAAAGAATTATTATTAATGTTCTATAGTATTCAGCATATCACCCTCCCTTGTTTCATTGTATTTCCAGCCATTAGGAAGCAACGAATCTAGTAATGCGAGTATTCATATTGTATAGATATTGACGCCAAGAGTGAGTAGTAGGTATATTCGCCAACCTGATACAAGGACATATCAATCTATACAATCAACAAATTTAAAAACAAATAAGACCTTAAATAATCCAATGTTATCACCACTGAAAATGTATAATGATGACAAAAGGCTGGAAAACACCGTTTATGTTGGAGAAAAATAAAGGAATTCTATGACCATTAAATCAGAGTTCTCCGACACTTCTGCTGACCAAATATAGCAGTAATTGTGACAGCAATAAAAAGTGAATTGTTATATAGGCTTTTGTTACAAATGGGTCAGTGTGAAGAAGGTTCTAAAACTACAGAGACGTCACACTGGGGACCACGATACTTGGGAGTTGCACGCACTGCTCTTTCATTTATTATAGCTGTCTTTGTCAATTCTATATTTGCTGCCATGTGGTATGATTAAACTTGCAAAGTCCAAGCTACGGTACGCTTTACCACCTTTTCAAATATTATGTGTGTGTACTGCCTCCGGCCGGTCCGCTGGTTTCTTATGTTGCTGAATGTGCAAGAAAAATTCGAACATTGTGTCTGACAATAAAAGTACTTACTTTTAGTATGCTTCTGCACCCCAGCCCTGGATAGTTTCACTGTTTACACTTACGTTCTCGGCCAGCTCGAAAGGAACAGACCCATATACCATCATTCCCCTCGGGTCCTGGGTGCTCTGCTGGGTGCAAGCCTGGGTGCACTGCCTTGGGTGCTGCCCTGGGGTGCACTGCCAGGGTGCAAGTAGTGGTGCACTGCTGGGGCACTGAAGGGTGAACAGCATTGGGTGCACTGATGGGTTGCATGATGGTTGCAGCTGACTGGGTGCACTGACTGGGCGTGCACAGACTGGGTGCAAGACTTGGGTTGCCATGATGGGGGTGCAATGACTGGATGCACTGTGGGTGCAAGCTGGGAAGCACTGCATGGAGCATGACTGGGTGCATGACTGTGTGCGCAGCCCTGGGTGGCTGCATGGGTATTTTGCGCAGCTCTGATGGGTGCGTCTGATGGTAGCGCTGCCTGGGTGACTGGCCAGGGTGCGCTGCTGGGTTCCTGCCTGGGTGCACTGACTGGATGCACTGATGGGTAGCACAGCCCTGTTGTGCATGGCATGACTATGAGGACTAAATCCAGTCTTACCTCGTAGGTGAAAGCTGACACGAGTCCAAAAACATGCCAACCTTACCCACTGATGTATATGTTATTTATTCGCCTAAGTAGCACAACCCGACAAAAACTCTCCGTATGAAAAAATGAACTACTAAAAACAAGGAGTGGGATCATAAAAAGGTCAATTACCTATTATAATCATAAAAAAGAAAGAAACTTAAAGCATAGCCCAAAAACCATAGAGCTGCTTATTTTTCCCTTATTATCTTTAATTTACTAGGACTTGAAAGGAACATAATTTTAAAGAAAATCAGCACACATGTGATAACATTAACATGTCTTGCATCTATAAAATCCACCCAACACAACAAACATAAAGATTACAGAACCAAAAGAAATAATATTGGCATTATTTTATAATAAATCTAGAAGTGTACAAAGTAATAAATGTTTTAGACAAAAAAAAAGAAAAGAATAACAATATATAAAGAAAAAATATGTGACACAAAGTAATGAGCCTGATACGGGCATTCTGGTATTTCTTCATTCGCCACCAGAGGGAGGAGTCAAATTTCCAAAGACGACCACAGCCATATGATAGTAAAGAAACTCATTTCCCAGCACTTACCCAAACTACTTTAGGGAGCAACACCCTATCTGTGGTGTTGGGTCTCAGCGTTTAATACAATGTAGACTTTATGAAGGGACAACATGTAGACTGTGGTGATGGGTCTTATTTTGAAGAGCAGGTAAAACTACCACCACACAGTCGAACAATACAAATGATTATACCTGACCCAACCCAATCATCCAATCGAACAAGTAATATTCATACCGACAGTCAGTGACCTGACTCTAAGCGAACCCATGTGTGTGGAACTCACACTAAATGTAACATATTGTGGACATACAAATCACAATTTGTACACGTATAACTCGACCTGGACGAGAACAGACAACCCTCCCATCCATGGGAACCTCTAATGGGAACTATTTTAGACCAGAGCCCAGATTATTTACAGAAATATTATACACGACAAGGTATCATATTGAATATAGTGAGATCTCGATCTGTCCAATTATACAAGAGCACAGGCACTCTCGACTTCTCACCAAGAAGAAGGGTCAAAACCAGTCGGAACAGGCCTTGTTGATTGGAGTATTGGGCATGTTCTCCCTGTGCTGGTAGGTTTACACCAGGTGCTCCTGTATTCCTCCGGTCTCCGGTATCTCCTCAAAGAATGGGAAGGATTGGTCCTGAACCCAAATGACAATGAAGGCAGTCGCCGCACCATGAGCAACATGCGCAGAATAACCGGACCCCACCCTGCCCCGCGATTGTGAGTAGCCCGATAAACTTGACAGTGCAAGGGTCTTACAATTATTTTACTGCCTTTACTGTAAAGTAAAATAAAATGTATGAACTGTACAGTCACAGATCAAGACAAAAAGGACAGCATTAGAATTTTCAATTGAATATCTGGTTCTGAAGCATATAATGAAAGTTAACATGTTAGTATTTTAGATATTGAGTGACGCACCTCTATCTTTTACGATGGTCAGAAGAGTTAGACCCCGGTACAACATGCCCGTTAACAACAAGAGGGATATGCGATGAGACACATAGTGGCACCATGACAACTGCAAAGGAGCCATAACAAGCAGGGGCAGAGTTACCAGTTCTGTACAGAACTTTAGAAATACAAAAGCTAAACCAAAAACTATTTTAGCATATTTGTATTCATAATTGTTCTTCTTTAAAGCATAATCCTTCATAGGGTGTCACATTTTGAATGTTCCCAAATCCCAGCTCTGCAGATCCAATTCACCACCACATACAAAAACCCTCAGGGAGCAAGCAGAAGCCTCAAGAAAAGTTATTGGCTAATCAGGCCGACCGTACGACTCCACAGAACCAAACACAGCTGTTACAGAACACTCTGAGAGGGACAGTGAATACAAACGGAATGATAATGAGACCGACGGACACCCATCCAGCACGAGAGGATCTGAGGGGAAAATATTCTGCCGCAGCGGGAGGCAGACAGAGAGAGGAAGAAAAGAGCAAGAGGAGTGAAGAGGAGCCAAGTTAGGACAAGGAGAGAAGCAGTAGCCGCACACACTACACTGCTCCGAGACGGTGGAACCCGAGCAGACTCCTTCTCCAAGATTGATAATTGTCCAGTCTGAAAAACAGCAGACTGAAAAAACGGCGGCCTGGTTTGGCTGAGGGATAGCACTGCTCGCCTCTCCAGCAAGAAGGTCTGGGTTCACATCAGACCAGGCCTTTCTGAGTGAGTTAGTGAGTTTGCATGTTCTCCCGATGTCTTGAGAATGAAACCTCGGGCACTCCGGTTTTCCCCTACCACAAAAAATATGACCAAAGTTCTGGCATGTTGTCTGTATGGTTACCCGCACCATCTCAGTGGGCTGTGAACGTGAGAGACAAATGCCCAAAACTTAGCCTTGTAAACCGCTATGGACACAGATCTGCAGTGAAAGGTGTTATATCAAATCCTAAACACCACACACACCAGCCAAATACCCACAGCATCTGATAGAAACCCGCTTTAATTTAAGAATATCAGTCAGTTAAGAGAACTCCTTGTTTGGGCTTCCCAGAGGCAGAGTATTAAACTGCAGCCACTTTTTTAATTTTCTAAGGGGTATTCTCCGTAAAAATAGCCCTTTTTCAAATACCCAAATAACCTCTTCGACAGTAGCTGCTTGAAAAACTTAACGGGCTTATATAACGAGCGCGATGAGGTCAGACATGGAGAATATCAGACGCGGCCTTAATGTACAGGACCCGAGCGGTGGCTTGGTTGTACAAAAGGCAGAAAGGTTGATTTTTCTCAGAACAGACCGCAGCAAGCAACTCTTCAGTGACAGTACCAAAGCTTTTGAGATAGATATGGAGTATGTTCATGTCGACTTGGTTTAGTGTGATTACGCGCTGTTCGGACCAATATTCATGGTAACGGTCCGAGATGGAAAATAACAGCCGGTTAAACAGCCAATCAGAGCTGCGCGACGGAGTCCAAGTCGTATAATAAAACCTGTTTAATGCATTAGACACATTATTCTATCAGCAGCTTTTTTAATGTGTGTAACCCGACATGATGCCTTTGATGGACAGAGCACCACATGATTGATAAATATTTGAATAAGATATACTTATTTAGAGTAAGAACAAATTTAATACATTCATATAGTAAACCAATAAAATGTGAAACCAGACATTATTTTGTTTAAAGTTTTTTATTAACCATGAAGAACGACATTAACCTCGGTCACATTTATCAATCGATATTAAATTTGCTATTGAGTTTATTTTTATGAACATTCCTGTTCCTTTCCATTTTAGTTTCAAAATCAGAGGCTGATTTAGTCTTAAAATGTTGCCAAAATATATTGTCAATCTATATCTATTGATTTCATCCACAATATCTCTTAGAAATGGTTTGAATCTTTTCTCCAATCGCGCAGTACATAGTATTTGAGTTATGACCTTTTAAGTCCGCCTATAACGGACACCTTGTGTGAACTGTGGACAACATAATTACTCTGTGTAGGACACCTGGGTGCACCGGATTCCCCTGGCCACTGAAAATGAGCCCAAGCCAAGCATCAACACCTGGAGGCCACATGCTGACGCGGGCGCAGAGACATATCGGAAGGCGTCAATGCGCACACCATACCCGACGGAGAAGTACCCCAGCTTTAAATATGATTTACCCATGGCAAATGCATATATATCCACAGTTGGACCCACTTGAACCTTTACAAGCCTGGGTTTGACGTCTCATCCCTGCGCGTTTTGAGAGGTAGGGACCAGAGTTTAACAGCACGACACGAGCACCTATACTGGATTGAAAAACTTAACGCCATGACTAACCAGGGACTAAAAACATGACGTGAATTTTTCAGAGTTTTAATAACAGAGACAGACAAAATAAACCCCAGGCCAGGTATTCATGAGGGGACCCTCCATTATCATGTGATTTGGAGAACTATTTTGTATGAGTCTTGTGCAAATACTACAGTAACTTCATGTATTAACTATCTCCCTTCAATCAATGAGCATTATAAAATAGTCACTGTGACGAGATCAGAGGGACTGACAAGGAGTATCAAATCAACGAGTACCCTAATAGAATTTATATATACATGCCAGAAGAAGGCCTGCGTTGCCGAAAGCGTGGACCCTTCTTAAAAAAGGGACTTTATATCAGGAGATCCTCGGATTTCACCCTGTCTACATGGAAAAGGGAAATCTAGAAAACAATGATATTATTTTATTAGCGAGCCCCTGCTTTTTAATTACAATTTTGGACCCTATAGGCACTCATTCTCCTTGTTCTCTTTAAACGATAGTAGGAAGCGACAAAAAACGGCCTACGTGACGGCCAGGTGTGTTTTTAACGGTTTGTTTATTCAGTTTGTTCAACAGTATGCGAAGCACAACTGTGAGGACGGATGTCGCAGTATGAACAATAAAATAAAGTGCAGTAGTCAATTCAAAAAGAGCGTAAACACATGTCTCAGAGGGAGGTGGACACAGCACTATTTTTTGTTAAGGGGTGAGAAATCTGAGTCAAAAGTTGAAAGAATACTGATCAATGGATGCTCAAATCTGCTTATCTGTTCACAAATTTTAACAATTGGCACAAACATGAACATATATGCATGGAAATGTAGGTACCGAGCAATATTTAGGGAGATTAGTCGCGCCTTATACAATAGGACAAGTCATGTATGTGGTTGTTGTGGTAGTGGGAAAATGAACTGGACATAAGTGTTACAACCGCAGCGCAGGAAACAAAGGGACAGATCCATTTCAAAGACCATTAATTAAACTTTTATGGACCTAGGTCTCTCGCTCCATGGACCAGAGGTTTATATGCATAAGTTGAAATTGCGTTCTTGTCTTCGAACCTGCTGAATCTTGATCTATGTAAAAGTACTT